TATAGTCTGCTGATTTAATATAAATAATTTACAAGGGTTGGGTATCAGTAAATATATTGTCTTTTAGCCATAGGCGGGTGTGGGTGGGCTGTAAGAAGGCTGAGGAGGCCCGTAAGTGGCTTGTGGAGTAGGGTATTGAGCCTCTCCTTCGTAGGTAACCTCAGCCACGTAACCGGAGTCTCCGTTGACAGAGTAGGTCACCCTCTGAACACGACCGTCGGGAAGAAGGACGTAGTAGGATCCCTGTGTGTTGTCGCCATCACGGGCTTCCTGGTGTCCGAAGTCGTTGGCAGATGGTGGGTCGTTGACGGCGTAGTTGAAGTCGTACTTTGCAGGTGCGTAAGAGGGTGTGGGAGCAGAGTAGCCATAGGTAGGCGGGCTATCTGGACGGGCGATAGCGACAACCACAAGGGCGGCCAGTGCAAAAATCTGCAAGGTAATTTTACGTTTTAGTGATGTTTACGTACAGCGATCTTTGCTCAACTCGGTAAATCGTATAAACATTTTAAACAAAAATACACTCAAATGTACCCTGAATGCCATGCTGCTTCTATTTTGTGACGAGACTGACGAAGACAAGGAAATTCCTCTCATTTATACAAATGTACTGGAAAAAACTCCGCCCACATTGTGACGTCAGGGTATAACATCATTGTTGCCTTGACTCCTCTTTTGGCCGAGTTTCCCCTTCGATGATGCACCTGCGGCCTTAGTTGCGAAAGGCCCACATTATTCATGCATTCTCCGGATAGAAATTCATGTTAATGAAACTATTGAAATGCTACCGATTGTGCTTTCGATAGAGAATATTCAGCACGGAATTATTTATATGCTTTTGATTAAAGAAGAAAAGGAAAAGGACTATGCTAGATATAGATCGAAGAGAATCCCGACAGAAAATGGACAGAAAAAAAACAAGAAATAAAATAATAACGGGGTTGTTTGTCTTTGTAGATTGGTGTGGTGAATTAGAACCCCCCCCCCCCCTTTTCAAAACTACATATGTGGTTTTCTGGGATATAATTTTGTAAATGACAGTAAGTCGTCATACTGGAAAGACTTTAAAGCAATTATGTATATACGAAAATAAAAGTCAGTTCCATTTCATACCCGTCATGGGCCTACGCAAAACAGATAAAGAAGAAGAAGAAGAAGAAAAAAAAATATATATATATAATTGATAATTATTCCCTTTTATCTCAATCCCGGCAGAAATAACTAGCTTAAGCAACGTGATTTAGCCCTTAAGAAGTACTGAGATTGTAGCTGGGAACTGGTGGTGGGGAGGGGGGGCAAGGAACACGTGTTACTTTTAATTGAGATGAGGAAATCCTATTTATTTATTTATTTATTTATTTATCATTATTATTTTTTTTTTTGTAAAATAGTTCAACAATATCTTAATAATTCACTGATAGAACAACGATGACATCTGTGCAGAATTCCTCCTCGCTGACACATACCTGTGGTATTACAACCGGCATGACTTTGAAAAAAAAAAAAAAAAAATATATCCATATCCATCTACATATCTATGTGAGCGTGTGTATACGTACACATATGACGGCCTTGGGAACCTTACCTGTTTCCACTTTTCTACTACAGGTCCCGGTTTATTTATTATCTCATTTTCTTTGTCGAGGTATCATTGTTCTTTCATTGATTAATGGGAGAACGGAGAAGAAAGAGAGAGAGAGAGAGAGAGAGAAGATAGAGAGAGATAGATAGATAGATAGATAGATAGAGAGAGAGAGAGAGAGATAGAGAGAGAGAGAGAGAGAGTTTTAAGTACTTCTGAAATATTTCTTTACTCTTTGGCTTTTACCGATATAAGCGCGATTTACTTACATTTGGTAAATTAGATCGTTTATAGAACCGTTCCGGAATAAAAAAATTCATGACATTAATTTATATGCGGTGTCAATTCAGTAAAACTGCTGTTGTATCAAGGTATCCATATTTTATAATCAATGCATTTGCATTGATTATAAAATCTAAATGAAATCGTTGCCTGCTGTTCTTGGGATCATCCATAATCTAAACTACATGACCTTTTAATTTCACGAAGAAGAAAATACCTTGAATACCATTCTGTAGGATGAGATGTGACGAGTGAGGAAGCCAGAGATTTTTTTTTTCTTTTACACAAGTATCCAAGAAAACCCCATGGCTATACGTTAGGTAATAGGATCGTGATTACCTTGACTCTGGCTGTGAATTTTCCCCCTTTGGCGGGGTTGCAAGTATAATTTTCAGTGTTATGTATGCGTGAATTGTGCTTTTGCGACGAGGGAACATTGTCTGCCTTTCCCATGGACTATTTTGCCAGCAACGTTTTTTAATACTGCATTTACCTCACCTGTTCAAAAATGTTTAAGGCAATATATTTCCACAAGAAATGGTTAAGGAATGGATTATATATAATGTGTTATATATTAATCTCAGATAACAGACTGCTACCGAATTTCGACAGCGCTTCCATCATGGGTATATGATGAAAAATGTGAATTTCTATTATAGTACAGTTGAGATGGGATTAATATGAAGAGACAAAGATAGAGCTATTTAGATAGATCGATATATTAATAGATACACACACATGCAGAGAGAGAGAGAGAGAGAGAGAGAGAGAGAGAGAGAGAGAGAGAGAGAGAGAGAGAGAGAGAGAGAGAGAGAGAGAGAGAGAGAGAGAGAGAGAGAGAATGAATAATGACGATTTTTTTATTTTCAAGGATGTGAATCAGAGCCATTGGCCACCCTTGGGGTTACCACCATTCCTGCCAGGTGGTCGGCCAACATATGCTTTTCTCGTTGCTCGCTAAAGATTATAATGTTTTGTTTTCATATTCAACCACTTGTTCTTGGCGTTTCACTTGTTAGTTGAATGGTAAATGATTGAATTTTATTCGACATGACGATATTTTATGAAATGAAGTTTGATTGAAAGGTTGGATCCCTTCATTGATAATATGTACAAAAATGACATTTGATTATTTGTAAGATATTGAAAAATATTGATATAGAAAAAAGCAAGTAATTGGATACCTTCATGGGACTGAATGTCTTTTGTATTTCTTAAGATCACAAATTACTGAAAGTGATTTTCTGTAGACTATGAAGACACTGAAATGACCGATTAGTGATCACGCAAGTATTAACTGAATGCACACGAATATATAGATTCATCAATCTGTTGTAACCATGAATATTTTTGTATGTAAGTGTACGAAACATGATAGTATGAAATAAACAAAGGTATATTACTTATTTTGATAGTCAACCAAACTCCCTTTGTTCAAGTTGAGTTGGTGTTATAAGTTGTCTGAAGAAAGGGTTATTTCTGTATATATTACCATGTGCTCGATTTTAATCAGACTCCTGGTGTAAAAAGAAGAAAAAGAGAGAAAGAAAGGAAAAAAATATATAACTCGCTAAATAGGGAAAGACATTTCCACCAAACCATCTCTGTAATACAGCTCATTTGCTCCGATTAGTATGTCAGCACACACACACATACAAATCCTTAATCAACAGTAGAATGCGGAAGGAAATTATTGGCCCCACAATTGCCCCCATGATTTGGAAGAGATTATGAGCAAGAAAAGAAAAGGAGAAATTATATAAAGCTCATATTGAATTTGGCAATGTGATGATGGCAATTGTGAACACCAACCCCTGTTCGATGTTGATAGTACACCTAACTGAGACATGAATATAAAGTGTTTATCCCACGTAGTGAGATCCCTGTGTGTTGTCCCTATCACCGGCTTCCTCATATTCAAAATCGATGCCGGATGCTTGGTCGTTGACAGCGTAGTTGAAGTCGTACTTGGCGGGTGTACAAGCGGGTGTAGGAGCAGGGTACCCATACGTAGGTTGACTATCAAGAAGGGCGATGACGGCGACCATAAGGGCAGGTAATACGTACAGTAGAGTGGAATTGGCATCAGTATTTAGGTATTGCGGTGAGGTCATTGCTCCAAACACCATTAGAAGTATTCAACGTATGAATCATTACAATTTACGAAGACTAAGACAAACCTTCGTTGCCTTACTGTCAGTTAGCAGAGATGACATTGTAGAAGGTAGAGCAATTTCTTCCTTTAAATCATATATCCAGGAAAAATCTGTCTCAGTGCTTTTACCTTGACTTCTCGTGTCATTTTCTTTCTCCGGTGGCGATGTTTAATTTAAACGCTTTATTGCACAAAATACTACCGAAAGGTGTTTTATTTACGGGGGAAATTTCTTATTTGTTATAAATACGATTTTTTTTCTGACTTCAAAATTTACTCTTTGTGTGTTATTTTTTTACACTCGTTAAGCATACAAAAGATGTTCCAGTACTTCTTCTATTATAAAAAAGCTAGGTGCAGTGTTCCTTTCAAGATGCTCAGTATGTTTTTTTTTTTTTTTTTTTTTTCCTAGGGCAAACTTTATGTAATGTTCAGTTCTCAAAAGGAAAAACACACGGATACAGAACACTGGGTCTTAAAATACGAGAGAAAATAGAAAGAAAGAAAGAAAGAAAGAAAAAATACTCACAGATTGAGCCAGTTCGAGTAAATTGATGGAACCATCACTCGTTACGTAAAGGGTACGTTTACTCGCGATTTTTGGTCTATATAATCTCTATTAGTCTGTGTATATGCACACACACACACACACACACACACACACGTGTATGTATATGCGTCTGTGTTTACACGTGACACACTGACAGGGAAGATGCAGAGCATATGTATATATATATATTATATATATGCATTATATATATACATAAATATATATGATATATACATACACACACACACACACACACACACACACACACACACACACACACACACACACACACACACACATATATATATATATATATATATATATATATATATATATATATATATACATATATATATATATATATATATATATATATATATATATATATATATATATATATATATATATATATATATATATATATATATATACATATACACACACACACACACACATATATATATATATATTATATATATATATATATATATATATATATATATATATATATATATATATATATATATATAATATATATTATAATACATACACACACACACATGGATATATGGATACACACAAAATATATACTTCTCTCCCGAATCTTAACCCCAAGTAAAAGAAGAACAGAAGGAAGGGAAAGAGAAAAGGTATGAGGAAGAGAAAAATGGAAGAGGGAGCAGCAAAATAATAGCAATAGTAACATCAGTTCAAGCTAGTTTACTCTCTCTCTGCCGTGGGTAAAAATAGATGCGGTTGATGTCATTTTCGAAAAATATTTCGAACATAATGCAAATATATTTATATATGTGTGTGTGTGTGTGTGAGTACAAATATATATTTACATGAATATGTATATATATATCATTTTATATATATATATATATATATATATATTATATATATATGGATATAAATGTATATGTATGTATGTATGTATCTGTATATGTGTGTATATATACGCATATTTGTCTGGATTTTGGCCGACATTTTCCT